TGGTACAGTTCTGGAGTTCCTGCAGGCCTGTTTATCCGCAGGGTTGACCCATTCCACCCTAGAGGGCTTCGTGGCAGCCATTGCGGCCCACCACGCCCCTCTCGGTGTCCATTCAGGGGGAAGACACCCTCTTCTTACACGTTTCCTCTGCGGTGCGCTGAGGCCGAGGCCTTCGGCCAGAGAAGCTTATGTTAGTGGTGGATCAGGATGCTATTCCATAGCCTCGAGTCCTCTGATCTCCCCTCTCCTTTGGGGGTCAAGATTCACTCCTTAAGAAGTTGGCCTTGGGGATGACGGGCCCCGCCTACTTTAGCACTCCGGGCTCCTCTGCTCTCTCGCCCTAGCTGTGCAGTCTTCCACACTAGGCAGAGACTTGGAAGTCTGGCGGCATGGGCATTCTCGTTCCCCTAGCGTTTTCCGATGCAGCTCGAGTTCCTGAAAAGGAACGTCTCAGGTTACGTATGTAACCCTGGTTCCTCGAGGGAACGAGACGCTGCGTCTCGGTGCCATACTTCCAGCGTCCCTGCCAGTGCTTGCTTCATTCCTAGAAGCTGACGCAGGCTCCGCCGCACGCGCTTTTATAGCTTCCTGGTCACGACGTCACCCGCCCATGATGTCCCGCTCAGCTATTGGACTGATTTCACATGGGATTCAGAGCATGGGTCACAAAAGGCGTTCCCCTAGCGTTTTCCGATGCAGCGTCTCATTCCCCCGAGGAACCAGGGTTACATACGTAACCTGAGACGTTTTTTTGCATCCGATCTGAGCCACTTCCAAATGTGGATTTTAATCGGATACACATCTGATATCTGAACAGCCGACCTACGTCTAAACACACATATCCGATTCTCCACAGAACTCCCAATACGAGGGCAACACGTTTGCTCATAAAGATTTGTAATGCCGGCGTGCTGTATGCGCTCGCATTTTATTGAGATGGAAACTTTTTATAGGTAAGAAATTGCACATTCAGCAGCTGGTTTTCAACCCCCGCCCAGTGAATTTTGAAAATACAACAGCTAAAAGCTACATATATTTCTCAGCAATAAGCTGATAACTTAGCAGTTTGTTTGCTATGCTTCACAATCGCTCGCTCGCACGTGGGTGCATGCGTTCGTTCGTTCGTTCTCTCTCTCTCTCTCTCTTTAATTCGAATTCATTTCAATAAATATCATCTTTATTTCACTAAAGAATTCTACCTCTAACGAGTTGTAGATAAAATAGATAAGTTTATTTATCTAGTTTAAAATTTAGTTTAAGTTTAAAATGACCGTTATTTTCCGGTCTTTATCCGATCAGTCAGATTTTGTGCTGCAAAACATCCATGACAGCCGTTGTCCATGCTGGCAAATAATAATGGCCATTCGACGTGAATTATATAAATAATTTTAAAAGCACGGCCATTTAAAACCCGGGGGTCTACCATGTGCATAGTAAAGCGATCACTGCAGACAATCCTTTTGTGTGGGAATTCATGTAAACACAGATATCGGATACCAGTCGTGTCTAAAGTGAATGTAAACAGACATGCCAAAAAATCGGATATGGTCAAAAGATCGGATCTGTGTATTAAGACTTGCAGTGTAAATGCAGCCTATGTGCTGGGGATCAACCCCCGGACGGCCCCGGCCCAATTTAAACCCTGCTCATAACATCTGTACAGCACTGTACAACATACATGTCCCAAAAACTACCATCATAATATTTTATGGACACAAAATGTGCTCTGACAAAATGTATCTCTGCTTTAGTTTATATATGAAAAGCCTTAATCACTGCTCAGTTACAAGCACAAAGTCTTACATATTAGTTAAAAGCAAAAAAAACACCTATCAAAATTCAGTCAGTGTGGTTACAGGCACTAAAATACAAATGAAAGAAAAATGTATTCTATCCATTACGTAATATCTATTAAATCAAAGCTAAACACATTATTTAAAGGGGTGGTTGATGGCAATTTCACTTTTTTAATGTTAGTTAGTGTCTAATGTTGCTGTTTGAGCATAAACAATATTTGCAAAGTTAAGAAGCTGAAAGTTCAATGCAAACGGATATATCGTCTTTTAAAATTCTGTCAGTTTAATGCCTACAAGAACGGCTGGTAGGGACAACAACAAGTTACTTCCCGGGTTTGTGACATCACAAACCCAGATAAACCCCGCCCTCAGGAAAAGGCACCAAAAGGGGCGAGGCCATGCAGCGCTGCTTTAGAGAAGCGGAAGAGAAAACTAGAGCACTTAAAAATCTATTCATATATGAATCGCGATTCTGTCTTCTAACGATTCCAATGGATTCACAAGTTTCAAAATCAATGTTCTAAAGCAGCAGTTCTTAATACTGTTCCTCGCATCACCCTGCTCTGCACACGCTCTGCATCTCGCTCTCTCTCTCATTCAACACCTCCAACAATGAGCTGTTACAACTATACACTTATTTTCACATAGTTATGAGAAGAGTTAAACATGGACGCGCATGCAGTTGCCATACTGTATTAAAGCTTTAATCAGGATAAAACTGTATATTAAAAGCTAACATAAGCAGTAGCATTTACAAATAACAGCGTATCTAAAAGTATGAGACAACAACAAACAAAAAACATAGGCCTACCATTAAAAGCCATGCTTGCACAGGTTCTGCACGATCCTCTTCAATAATATCCTCTGCTTCTCAATCGGGCTCAAACTGATAAGCGATATTAACGATGCAGTTGTTTACAATACAACCGGAGCACATGCCGCCGAGGTGAGGGGCGGGACGTTTAGACGCGCGCTAGAGGCGGTTTAGCCAATCACAACACACTGGGCCAGCTAACCAGTGCCCATCGCCTATTTCTGAGGGAGGGGCTTCATAAAAGCAGGAAATGATCAGCCCGTTTCTCAGAGATGGGACAGAGAGGTGTGGAATAAAGGTAAATTATGTGAAAAAAATAATGCGTTTTTTAAAAAACGAAGCGTTAACACGTTAGACTGCACCCCATAAACACAATCAAGCCTAGAAAAAACCCAGTGAACCACCCCTTTAACTCTCACCTCAGCTGTGAGATGTAGGGCAGACACTGGAGGAATCCCTTCACTTCACTCTCTTCATCTGTCCAGTCTATCAGCTCTACTGGTTTCTTCTCTGTTTGGAGTTTCAGCACTTCTAGGAGGATGGAGCTCTTTCTCTCTGAGAGCTTTATGATCCAGACTGCAGGAGCTGACTGATAAATTGGCTGTAATGCTGGAAGGACACTCCTGCCTGTTTGAGTCTCATAGTCCTTCATGTGTGAGTACAGATCCAGCAGAAAATCACATTTCTTATAGTCCACAGATGACAGCAGTTTCTTCACAGTTTCTTCTATTGTCTCTTTCTGATGGAGCGCAGCTTGCAGACACAAATCCAGTATGAAAAATCTCTTTCTTTTGTCCCATGATCCAGCTGTTTTATTGTGTGGTACAGCAAATCTAAAGAGTGAACAAGATTCTGTTAGAGATGTGTTACCGTTATACATTTTATTGTGCAACAGTTGGGCCCCGGAAGTAAAGACAGATCAACCATGAACTAAATTAATTAAACTTAATTTCTGAAAATCAATTCTTAACAGGCAGTTTCTGGTGAAGAACTACAGTACTCATGACCCTGCAGACAAATATCCATGAATCACAGAATCACAAATTGGCTCCTCCCATAAAGCACTGAATGATGTAATGATTATGTCTCTTCCTACACTTGAAACTACTTGTATACATCAGTTTTTTTAATGACTTCAAACCACATCATTTGTATACTCAGAATCAGCAACCGAAAATCTTTTTCTTTTTTTTTTGTCTTCAATGCTTTATAGGTTTGTAGTTAATTCCTTCATTAAAGACATTGTACACAGTTATTTTTTCTTTTACCTTTGTCCTGCACTTTAAAAACACTTGTCTTTTTGTGCGTTTTTAAATACATTTTTGTTTCAAATAAAAGTTTGTAATGTTGTGTTTCACCTTAGAGCTGGTTGGCTTTGGTTCTGGCTTAAAATTCTTTAACAATGTCTTTTTAATAATCCCTATGTGAAAAATGAATGGGGAAAATACTTATGGAACCATGGCCACTGAAAAAGTGGACATACACTGTTGCACTCTATTGTGAAAATGATCAAAGGACAATGATTTGGTAAAAGAGTTTAATCAGATATAAACTAATACAAAATAAGATGAGCAAGTGACAGAAGAGCATTTCATCCTATATGGTTTGTGGTGTGAAGCTGCGTGTCGTGTCCGGATCACTCTATTGTGTTTACTTTGTCATAATGACAATCTAAATGTACAGCATCCCTCAAAATTTAAACAAACAAAAACTCATCCTGTCCTGGTATTAAAGCTCCAGCCGTGTGGTGTTCTTTCAAAAGTTGCACGGTATGAACGAGAAATAGCGCAGACACTGGACGAAGATGATTATCAAATGGAGTATAGTCTGAAAGACTGAGCGTTCGGTTGTATTCAGCACGCCAGTAGTGCTTCAATGGACAAAAACAGAATTATATCAAAATTCTGGGTTTTGGCGAGTGACCTTGTAAACACGGTCTTAAGTGAGTTATAAAATCCTAAATGACTATAAAGAGTTGGGAGAAAATCAGATGTGTGTCAGTTAGACGTCATGTCCATCAGGTTTTAAAGTGACAGCGCTGCTTTTAAAGTGAAATTTGATGAAGTCTGTCATTGATGTAAATCACAGAACAAAAAAGAAATCACTCGACTGCTCTAGTCGCTAATTACATTTTGTAGCTTGAATAAAGATTATTCTGTATAGTTTATGCATATACAATTTATAGTTTATGTGAAGATTGTTTTAATTTCACTTAAATTAAAAGTAAAAAATTATATTTTTCAGAACCTACTAAATGTTAAAAATAATGGCTTTCAATTATACTGTAACATTGAATTGCTATAATTATTGGCTAAAATTAAGGGGAAAATGCATTTAATAGAGACATCTGTAGCAGTATTGCATTGTTATCAAAAATACCGGCCATTGTTAATAATAGGCTACTCAGTAAAAAGATGCCATTAAACACATTTAAAATATACCATCTTTTAGGGATGTCAACGATTAATCGATGATCGATTAATTGTCGATAAGAGATGCAATCGATTAAAGCTATCGGTGGTCGATTAAGTCGTTTAATTTTGGGCTGCGTGCGGCTCATGCGCAAAAAAACCGTGCGAGCGGCTGTGAGTGACGGTGACGGTATATAAATGCATCATCATTCATTCATAATGTACAAATTAAGCTTTTAATGTGATTTAAACTTTAAAAGTACATTAAAATAGAAAGCAATGGAAATGTAGTAACTAAGTCATTTCCCCAGATAATTCTTTCATATCGGGCTCTGTGCTTTGCAGGGCTGCGGGACACAGGACAGATAGGCTATTCATTCCTACAACTTGTTAATTCGTTCCTACGACTTATTAATTTGTGGCCACTGTCCATGTTTCATTAATTTTGTTCCTTAAATAACCCATGATTTAACTAAAATGAGGGAACAAATTAATACATCGAACGAATTCTTAATTCATGGCCATGCAATCTTTAATTTCCCTAAGATGCGAAAACAGTGATAAAAAGTGAATGACAATAAAATAAACCTGCGAAATTACAGGGTTAGACGGTGAGGATTTAGGAAAAGAAACAATGCCTAAATATTATTGAATTTGTGGAAATTCGTGACCTGTGACATAAATCTGTGTGCTTTTTATATTTTATCCAAGGGCTTTTTTTTTACCTTTTATAGAGGGCATTTTCCCTCTAAACTTATTAATACTTTCAATTCAAATTCTTACATTTGATTTTTACATACATTTACACTAAAAAAATACAACTGCATTAAATAATATTATGAGATTCTTTTAAATATTTTTGAATATACAAACAAGAAATGATGGTGGAAATGATACTTTTCAACGAAATTAAAACGCCAGTAGGTGCCAGTAGTGAGCATTTAATGAGTGAGTCATTGAGTCGTTCATTCAAACGGCAGATTCATCAGATGTTTATGCATGGACTAATGAAACTTTGACTCAACCGATTCGTTCAAAACACGGAATCAATCAGCAATGAATCGTCTGGTTGTTGTGAGATGCGCTGTTTCCGCCTAAAATGTAAGTGACCTAATATTATTGTATTTGTTTATAGAACTATTAAACGGTCGTAATGGTGAAAATGTTGTGTGATGTTGCCTAACTAACTGTATTTTAAATAAAAACTTTTCATAATTTTTTTTTACCTCAGCATGCTTACTCGTCTGGCGTCAGTGGCGGCTTTGTAATTCTGCGATGAAAATGGGAGGAGCACGATTTAATGTTAATAAAATTCACAATTCATTTCAGTTCATGTCTCAGAATGTGTATTTTTTGTTTGCAATTTCACAGTTGTAATACCATAACGTGAAAGCGCCGCTTCTTTATCGTGAATGTGCCGAATCTGCTGATTATCAGAGGTGTAAAGTATTGGAGTAAATTTAATTAGTTACTGTACTTGAGTATCTTGTTTATGCATGGACTAATGAAACTTTGACTCAACCGATTCGTTCAAAACACGGAATCAATCAGCAATGAATCGTCTGGTTGTTGTGAGATGCGCTGTTTCCACCTAAAATGTAAGTGACCTAATATTATTGTATTTGTTTATAGAACTATTAAACGGTCGTAATGGTGAAAACGTTGTCTGATGTTGCCTAACTAACTGTATTTTAAATAAAAACTTTTCATAATTTTTTTTTACCTCAGCATGCTTACTCGTCTGGCGTCAGTGGCGGCTTGATAATTCTGAGATGAAAATGGGAGGAGGACGATTTAATGTTAATAAAATTCACAATTCATTTCAGTTCATGTCTCAGAATGTGTATTTTTTGTTTGCAATTTCACAGTTGTAATACCATAACGTGAAAGCGCCGCTTCTTTATCGTGAATGTGCCGAATCTGCTGATTATCAGAGGTGTAAAGTATTGGAGTAAATTTAATTAGTTACTGTACTTGAGTATCTTTTCGGATACTTTGTAGCTTTACTGAGTATCAAAGATATTAGCAACTTACTCTTTACTTCACTACATTTTTGAATGAGTATCTGTACTCTTTACTCCACTACATTTGAAATGAGTGTTGCAGTCAGTGTTGCCAGATTGGATGGACGATTTCCAGCCCAAAAGCTCACAAAAAACGCCCAAAACTTTAACTGTCAAAATAATGTGATGGAATATGTAAATCAAGGTTGATAAGGGCCATTTTTAACTCCTTAAAACAAAATAATGACGACTAAATAATATAAATATAACGTTAGATAAATTTCCCTGGTAAACGGATCAAATCAGGGCTTTAGCCTACATTTAAAGAGAGTTAGGCTACCGAACATGAATTAAATATGCAAGCAGACACTGTTAAAACGGCAATCAAGAAATTAACCGATACCCTCGAAACAACATGCATCATTTTCAATGTCAGCAGTCAGAATAATCCAGTTTAAATGCAAAAGTGCCCAATGTAAGTGATAGGAAAAAGGTATTTCACACTCGTTCATGCACTCACCATGACAGTCAAAACTGTGTCATTCATTAATACATACTGAATTATAATCCGACAATTAAAAAAACTAAAAATAACAACAACAACAATAATGCACCTTCGTGTCGCGCTATAATTTTACACAGAACTAGAGGAAGCCTTGTTAAGTTCATATTGCAGAACAGAACTTTGCACAGTCAAAACTAATCAAGTCTAGCAGTTTTCAAGGATTTATCAATCTGGACCGAGATATTTAGTTTCGGGTTTGATTAATTAATTCAAATGTGCTCTGATTTCGGAGTTGCAGTGATAGAGCCTTCGTGTCATCTCACTCTACAATAATTCACGTTTTGAGAGTTGAATCCCTCTCCCACTCTTTAACTTATATTTAGGCATTGTGATTACTTGAATATACAGTCATACTACATTCAAAATCAGATACGTTATAACTTATCACGCTAAAAACTTGTCACTGGTGAATCATAACGTCTGTCTGCTGAGCCCTCGAGATAAGTGCGGCTGTCGACGTTACACCAGCACCTCTGCAGTGTGTGTGTGTGTGTGTGTGTTTAGTAACGTTGTGATGACTGATTGGATGCAGTACCTAGCTTTTTCTGCAGCAGTTTATTTCTGCTACAAAAGACGTGATACTGCCTATTACAGGTCATTGAAAGTGCTGCCTCTTGTGTGTTTTGCCCTTACTCACCCAAACTTGTCAACAAGGCTACTTTATGTGAATGCGAGCTCCTTAGCAAGTATTTGTGAATCAGAGGTGTTTTATATATGAGATGAGGACATGACTGCAGCCGGCAATGAGGCCCAAACCAGCACATCCACTGCAAGAAGGCTTCGCTTTTTAATTTTACTTAACATTATTTTATTTATCCATTATACTGAAAAGACATTTTTGAAAGATATTGTTTTTGTTTGCTTGTTTTGTCATTTTGAGGTGTTCAGTTTTATTTTTTGGTTTTAGAAAATAAACCTGGTTACTCTCCTCACAAATCAACTCTTTCTTGTTTTTGTTTCATGCTCTCTGTGATTTGCCCTGGACATTTATGTCATTTCCTGTCTCCCGTGGTGTTTGTAGTCAGTTTGTAGTCCGTTTGTTCATTG